GGCACAGGGTGGTGAACCGGGGTCCAGGCCGGGCACAGGGCAGTGAACCAGGGTCCAGGCCAGATGCAAGATGGTAAACCCAGCTCCAGGTTGGCCGCAGGGTGGCGTACCTGGTCCGGGCTGCATACACAGTACCGGCTCCAAGGCGCAGGAGAGGAGCGCACTGAGGGTTTGTGCCTCAGGTGGGGCCCGGGCCTGGTCTGGAGGAGTGCAGCTGTGTCTGGGAGCCGTAGCCGCCGTGGAGGCAAGCGGGAGGGGGCACATGGGGGCAGGGCCGAGGGTGGGAACAAGTGTGGGAATGGGTATGGGGGGGTGGTCAGAGGAGGCTTGGCCTTGCATGCTGTGTCCTTCACTGGACAGAGACCGAGTGGACGGAAGGATGCTGGGCTGGGCTGGCCTGGAGGGCAGTGGGGACACAAAGGTCAGCAGGCGTAGAGGGTCAGCTGGGAGATATACAGGGGTGGGGGGTGGGGGACCCGCACTGCTGGTGTTTGAATTGAGAGAATTTTTTCTATTTTATTTTTTATGACTTTTTATTTTGAAATAAATTCACATTTGCAGAAAAGTTGTAAGAAGAGTACGAAGAACTTCCACATATCCTTCACCAAGATTCCTCAGTTGTCGACATTTCATCAGACCTCAGTATTTTTCCGGTTTCTCAATAACGTCCTTCATAGCTCCTCCCCCCACAAAAATCTGACCAAGGTCCAAACGTTGCATTTAATTGTCACAACTTTTTGTTCTGCTCCAGTTTGGAACTCTTTTTTCTTTTTTAATTTTATTTATTTATTTTTTTATTGTACTTCAAGTGAAGGTTTACAGAACAAATAGTTTCTCATGAAACAGTAGCACACAGATTGTTTTATGACATTGGTTAACAACTCCACAACATGTCAACCTTCTCCCTTTTCAACTTTTTTTTTTTTGGTGAAAATATACATAACCAAAGATACACCATTTCAAAAATTTCTACATGCACAGTTCAGTGACATCGACTACGCTCTTCCAATTGTGCTGCTATTCT